ATATGAGAATTTTCCGACGCTAGTGTTAGATTTTGTGATGTTTGTCAACCTGCTTTGTAATGTTTATAAGTCCAGTTTCTAATGTTTATATCAATTTCGATTTGTATTGTTTGTACTTTTTATCTATTAGGTTTGTAATGTTTATATGAATATTTTGTATATATTGTAATTTGTAATGTTTGTTTGTCTATTTTGTATACTTTTATGCTCTGATTTGTATACTTTGTATTCATCGGTTTGTAATTCAAGTTTACCAATTTGTATTGTAAGTAGTGGTATTTTGTACTGTTAGTATGCTTTGTAATGTTTGTCGATTAGTTTTGTAATATTTGTAAGCTTTGTTATTTTGTAATGTTTGTCAAGTTCTTTTGTAATGTTTGTAAGCTTTGTTATTTTTGTCCAACATATTTGTCATTTTTATCAACCATGCTTGTAATGTTTTTTATGTACAAATTAATAATACAAAACATACAAACTATACAAATCATACTGACATTATGTACAAATATACTAATAATACAAACTGACAACACTTGCATTACAAATCATTGTTCTTCCCTCAGACAACAAAATATGATGTCGAGAGCCGACTCTCTCTCCACCGCTGCCGCCGCCGACTCTACCCTCCTCTCTCTCTCTCTCTCTCTCTCTCTCTCTCCATCACCGCGCCTCTTCTCTCTCATCCACCGTCATCGACGCTCTCTCTCCCCCACTCCCTCTCTCTCCTCCACCATCATCTCTCTCTCCTCTGTTTTCCCGATGACGACGGCCAGACCTTCTTTCTCTCTCTCCAACGATGTCGCCTTTGTCGCAATCGCCTTTCCCTTTCTCCATCATCGTCAGCGCCATCAAGGTCTCCTTCCTCTCTCCATCGTTGCCTTCGCCCCCCTCTCTTCCACCGTCGCCGTCGTTCTCTCCCCGCCGCTGCTTTTCTCTCTCTCCCATGGTCGGCGTTGGCAACGAGAAGAGTACGGTTGGAGACAAAAAATAAATAAACTTAAATAAAATTTTCATAATCCCAAAATTGCCCCTGCCATTATTTAATTATTCCTGCCCTATTTTCCACCGTTAGATTGATTAATAAGAATCCAATGCTAGGAGGGGCTTAGCCAAGTGACTAAGCACCCCCCCCCCCTTTAGTCACCAGATCCTCTCTCTAGGGTTGATCTTGAAGACAAGGATTCAAGCCTAGAAGAAGAAGAAGATCTTGGGCTCCAATTTGTAATATATCTCTTCTCTCTCTAGAAACTCACCCTCTTCTCTTGGGTTTAAGAACCCTAGGTCTAGGTTTTGGTTTGTTGTTGATGTAAGTGACAAATTCCATGTTTGATTGATGATTTTACTTAATGTATGAATGTTTTCATGAATTGCATGAGTTGGGTTTTCATTTTTCATGTTTTGAGCTTTTGACCTAGGAGGAGAAAAATCCCCTTAGAGCCCATTATTGGCGTATTTGGGTCATTCCTCATCCTATATCGTACGGGTGACCTCCGAGGGAGTTGATTCCATCAATCTCCTACGATATAGGGTTGCCATGGTTGAATAGAGCATGCTCCATTCATCGATTCGCCGTTCAGGGTCATTCCCGAGGCAGTCCATCTCCTAACAGTAGAGTATTTGAGTCGATCGAGCTAGGAGGATATCCAACATCGATCCAAAGGACAGACCTAGGACGATTTAACCCAAGAGAGCTCTAAACCTTATAAATAACTAGGTTAGTGGTTAGTTTAGGTTGGTTAGTTTAGTTTTAGTAATCACTATCCTAGGTTGGCTAGATAACGAACCCTAAACCGAAGTAAGGTAAGCCTAGATACCCGTGGTATGATAAATTATTATTGATTGCTTTCCCTATGCTACATCCGATCGGCGGTTATACTTGGTCGTCGATCGGGATTTTGTAGTTAGAACGAGTCACATATATTCACCCCTACACTTAAAGATCACATTATTGTCAATATGAAAGAAAAGATAAGTAAGAATTAGATAAAATACACATCTATAGCCACAACTTTCACGCTTGTAACACTTATAGCATCAATTTGGTATTTTAGTCAGTGTATCATTAACCTAACTGGCGAAATATCTAACACCATTAAAGTTTGTAACGAAAATAGCTAGATTTGTCAAACAAGCATCATAAATCTAGCTATTTCGTATATTTCGAAAGTTTTGACAAGTTTAGGTAATGGTCTCAATATGAGAGGTATTGAAGTAGCAATATCAACTTACAAAAGAGATTTATTTGGAACAACAAAGCTACAAATTAATTGTTCAATGTCCTAAGTGGCTTGTTTTGTTTAGTTGGGAGTGTTGCCTATTTGCATACCTGTTTATTTTTATTTTTAAATATGGCTATTGGCAGAAGTTTATGATAAACTTAGGGTTCCAAGAAATAATGAGAACCCAAAACCGTGACGTTCTCCAACAAACACCGGGTCAGATCAGGTGCTTAAGGCTTAATTTTTAAGGAAGATCTTAAACCATCTCCAACCAATAGGAGAAGGGGAGAGAAAAACATTAGTAATAATTAGTTAACTACCTAAAAGGGTAAGACTGGGAATATAATAAAAATTTAATGTGAAATTAAAAAGGAAAACTATAGAAACCACGTCTGCGATGCCTCACTATTGAACATTCATATCGGGAAAATCGACCTCTTCCGAACCCTAAAATCGTTTCCCAGGAAGCCACGGCTTCAAACTCGTCGCCGGCTAGCCGTCGCGTTCTGGGTGCAATCCCGGCATCGGAGTCACTGCATCACGGTTGCATCATGTCGTTGCCAAGTCACGGCTGCATCAGTTTTGGTTTCCTCATCTGCAACCTCGTCATCGTCAAGTCGCGACAACGTCGTCGTTCCGTCTGCAAACCCGCGACGACCCGCAATCACGGCTGCCTGGTCGCTGTCGTTTCCCCCGTCGCGACCATCTTCTCGTCAGATTCCTGTCTAGGTTGCCACCAGCTTCCCGTCTGCGTGATGGGTGGTGATGATAATAATGTTGCTTATAATGTTAATAACGTAAGGCTAAAGATAGATAACGAATGTTAATAATATAAGTTATAATGACAACAAAATGTTAATAACTTTGGTTAAAATGATAATAATGTATCTTAAAATGTTAATAACGTAGAATAAAATGGAAAGAATTTGTAATGTTAATAATGTAGTTTAATACATGTTGAAAGTGTTACAATAATTTGTTAAAGAGTTAATAACGTAGGTTAACATGTTAATAACGTAAGGGAAAAGATTGGTAACGAATGTTAACATGTTAGTAATGTGAGTTAGTGTGAGAACCAAATGTTAATAATGTTGGCTAAAATGATAATAATGTAGCTTAAAATGTTAACAACATAGGTTAAAATGAAAAAACCTCTTTTTTAATTACGTGGGTTAAAATGTTAATAACATAGGCCAGAATGATAATAACGTAGTTTAAATTGTTAATAAATAATAACGTAAGTAATAATGAAACCATCTTTATATAACGAAAGTTAAAATGTTAATAACATGTTAATAACGTAGGTTAAAATGATAATAACGAGACTTAAAATGTTAACAATGTAGCGACTACAAAGGGAGGCAACGCCGGGCAGGACCGACGCCGGAGGTAAGCTACGCTCGGCAGGAAGACGACGACAACCGTTGAGGGTCAGAAGTTGGGGAGCGCTGTCGGAGACGGAAGCGATGCCAATGCTAACGAGAGAAGTAGGTCGTTGGTGGACTGGGCCGACGATGACAACGGGAGCTGGCTGTCGATGACGGAGAACGCTTGCAGGAGCAAAATCGCCGGCCGGAGAGCTCAGCGGAAAGGAAGCTAGACCGGCGGTGGCAACGAAAGCTAGGGTTCGGCGTTGGACTTGGTGGACTGGAACGACGACAACAACGAGAGCTGGCTGTCGACGGTGGAGAACGCTTGCGGGTAGGGATGGCAATCAAACCCATGGCCGCGGGTACCCGACCGCCCCATACCCAGTCAACGCGGGGAATCCCCGCTTTGACCGGGTATGGGGCGGGTATGGGTAAAACCCGCAAAAGGTTTGATGGGTATGGGGCGGGTATGGTTTTAGCCTCCCCCGCCCCATACCCATACCCATACCCGCCCCACCAAGAGAATTTCTTCACATATCAAAAAATACGTGGATTAAATTGTAATCTATCAATGATGATGATGATAACTCGAGAAAATAAATAGTAGAAATGCAATTGAGTAACCACCTTAATCAAAACCTAATTCATTTCCCTCAATTCTCCTTCCACTCTTTCACTTTCCCCCTTGTCAACAAAATTATGTTAGTTAATTATTACTTAGTAAATGTATCAAAAGTTAGAGCATAATAATTTAAAAAATATTATAGTCTATATTATGTATTAATGGATGTTTTAGGATCATATTCTTTGAATCGTATTTAGAAAATGACCGTGTTTTGTTGACTTCGTGATATAATAGGTTTGTTTATGGTTATAATTAAAACTTTTCTTGTAAGTTTTAGGTATAATAATGTTGGATGTACGGGGATGGGTATTACCCATGGGTACCCGAAACCCACGGGTATGGGGATGGGTTTGCAAAACATTCCCCCGCATGGGTATGGGGCGGGTATGGGTTTGGGTATTTGAAGATGGGGATGGGGATGGTTTAGGCAAACCCGCCCCAAACCCGCCCCATTGCCATCCCTACTTGCGGGAGCAGAATCGCCGACCGGAGAACTCAGCGGGAGGGAGGGCGGAAGAAGGTTTTTTGATTTGATAGAGAAACAGTTCAGATGCTTGCGGGAGGAAAAAAAAGATGATACGTGGACATATACATCAATAGGGTTACGTTTTTTAATTTAATTGTAATTCGCTTAATAATCCTAACAACTATTTAACTAATAACTCCTCACTAACTATCTAAAATTGAATCAGCCAATCACAATGCTTTAAGATCCTCCTTAAGAAAAAGGGTTTAAGGACCTGAACTTGGGCCCAAACCTTTAGATAGTAGGAGAGGTAAGTAGAAGACACGAAGGAAGACAAATTAAGAATCACTCGTATAGTATGCCGTAAACCGTATACATGTTGTTGATAAGAAATCATATACATATATGCAAAAAGAATATAGGCAAAGCAAGAGAGAAATTAATTTGTGGGATTGCTTGATCTAATAAGAATATGTGACTGAAGTTGTGGGGAAAACATGTCTATTTAGCTGGGGGCGGAGGCTTATCTTTCTTGGCTGCTGCATCGTCTTTATCTTTCCTTCCCTGCAGAATCATGGAAATCTGGAGGCCTCTGCTGAAAGCTTGGTTGAAGAGCAACCGAGTTTGGAACTCGTTGACAAACGGGAACCAAGACAAGATGGCACTTGGGGAGAAGATCAACAGTCCCATAATGTATTCGTACGCTCTACCCAGCTCTTTGATTGAATCCCACAATCCTATTCCTTTAAACAGTCCCCTGCATGCTTGACCAATCTGGAAATTTCCAAATGGACCAACCACAGCCAGAGAGGTTTAATGTTAGTTTTGTTCTTTGAGGAAAATTCAGGTACGGATGTGGTGAATGGTTACTAAACAGAAGCAACTTACCAGAAGCAGAGCCCATCCAGTGGGAATGAAGGCAAGGATGGAAGCAAACAAATCCGCTATTGTAAGGTTGCAGACCACGAACAATACAGTTAAGACAGACAGGAACCCCAGGAAGAGAAGTGCCTTTAGAATTCTGAACGTTAGCTGGAAATCTGTGCCAAACTTCCGCCTCCCCATTGACACCATCTACAGGTTGAGCATTAGAGAACAGAATACAGGTGCAATGTGAATACTATGGATAAAAACAAGAAATGGAGTAGCGAATAACCAAAAAACAGTGCCTTTGGCAGTGGTTAAACGAACCTTCAATACCAGGAGAGCAGAGATCATGACAACCCACGAAAGTCCGTACACCTGAGGATAAAAAGTCATGTCAATTGTGAGCTTTGTAAATGAAGCAAGAGATGTGGACTGAGCGACATATTAGAAGCAAGTGATGTGTTACCAGGAGACTCTTGATGCGGTGAGATATATCAAGATGATAGACAATGCCGTACTGGTAGACAAAGAAGCGGCAGGCAAGGATTATCTCCATTATCCGGCCCCTCAGGTTGGTGTATTTGAGATGCTCTTGTTCACCGTCCCACCATGATTCCCAACTTTTCTCTGGCGGAATTCCAATCCCACCGCGGTTCCCCATCCACCTCTTCCAATCAGTCCAATCATCCACAGTTTTTTGCCAATCGAAGCCAGATGGATTGAACACAAAAGGAGCAAATAACCAGGAAGCAACAAGGAACCACATGGAGAACGTGATGAACAAGTAAAGATTTGAACTGCGATACGACTCCCCGTAGACCTCATATATAATCAATAGCATCAACAGCTCTATTCCCTTCACAAAGTGGCTCCGCGAGTATAACCTATAGTTATCAGCAAACTTTGCATGGAACACGACAAAGCCACGGCCAGTGGCCCGATATTTAGAACCACCGTGCAAAATCGTCTTCCCGTAGTAATGAGCTTTAGTTCCAAGCTGAAATGTAAAGAAGACAGAGGCCAGTTGTAGTTGCATAATGATGAAATCACCCAAGGCAGTGCGAAACCCCTTCTCCAATCCAATTTCCATAACCATTGGCAGGACTAGTAACAATCCTAATTGGAACACAGACTGGGTGGCCAAAGCTTCTTCAAGTGCATTGCTTTGTCGTATCGTTGCATTTGTCAGGATCTCCATTTCTACTCCACTCATTACCATGTACAAACGTCCATACAAGAACACATATACGATAAGCACAGTTATCTGCACAAGTGAAAAAGATCAAAGTCAACTCATAAGAGAGAAGCTCGAAATCCAAGCACAATCTAGAAGATGAAATAGTCTATTTTAGGAAAAGTAATTGTCCCATAATTAAAAAAAATTAAGTTTTTCTTGTTCTGGCTTATCAAGGAACATTGTCAGCCATATCGACCTAGTAAATATCTCAAACACTACAGTTGCACATCATGAACAATATCATCAAAACAAAGGAGCTTCCAAAGGGACTTACCCTGAAGCAGTACTAGGACTATTATGGTTTGCCAAGGGCAACTAAATAATAAGACAGGACTCAGCAGAAAGATGATAAATAAAGGTACAAGTTCAACATACCATGCTGCTGAAATAAAAACCAACTGTCGTGAAATAGAATGACAACATCCTGTAGAAGTCAAACCGGCGCCCAAGACGATAAACATCGCGACTAAGAGTCTGCTCTCCGTTTCCGTTAGCAACCTTTGCTTCAAAAAGTGATATCTGATTCATCCCCACATCACGTCCTTTGCCCACTTGTATATATTCATGGTGTGTAATGTATCCACCACGTAGTGTAGAGTTGTATCCTGAAGAAAATTAAGATGCTTTAGCTGTCGCACTAAATCAGATAACAGTTGTCTACAGCCAATGCCACCAATAATGTTCGACCAGATACTACCTGAAAATATATCCTCGCTCAAGTTTATGATTTTAGAAGCTTTGCTGATGCCACCTCTGGTAATATGGAATATCCGGTCAAATATATCAGGATGACCATAATGGAAACGAACCCTGTAAAGTTATGACATACAAAAATTCTAAGTGATTATAGGATCGAGATTATAATCACAGAAAATCAATAAATGAAGCAAACATAAGAATGGACAAAGAAAAATAAAAATCAAGACTACTGTCCCACAACAAAAGAAAGTATAACTCAGATAGATGAAGAAGAATAACGGTAGTTTGTTCTGTTTTTTATTTTCTTAGTTAAAATCTTCGAAGGGACAACAGTACAAAAGAACAAGTTATGGCGCTTCCTGAAATACACTTTAATATCACAGCTTTTAAACTTCCCCATGTCCCCAACCCCAAATACCGGATCATTGATGTGACACGCCCCGAAGGGAAAATTATTACTTTATCATGCCAACCGCAAAGAGGATGGTCTCAGTATTGGTATATAGTTTGGTATATGCCAAGAGGTATCTCATAAACATTAGCAGAAAAAGCAAAGTAGAGACATAAGGCAAATATGAATTCCAAATGCATTCTATACACCTAACTAATAATCTAAGAAGATGAGAGTTAGGCGTACCTCAAAGGGTTAGCCAAAATTCGTTGTCCAATGGTGACAAAGCTTGTCTCTTGGTTGGACATAAACCAGGCAAGTGATGAAACACTGCATGATATTAAGCAAAGTAAATATATGTTTTTAACATTGATCTGGAACAGACAGATTAAATTCAATGATGACAGTCATACATATCCAACAATGTGCTATGAGATTATTTCGCTTATTACAATGCATACCGACCTTCCAGTAAATATATGCTCCCTCAGGCCCAGAATTGTTGGCTTGCGTGGCCCACGGCGGGGTGTTATGAACTCCTCCAGTACGTTTCTCATTTTGAAAGCTTCTTCAAAGTAATTATCCTATTAAAGAACAATGACAATTGTGTTCTGAGGAATGTTATTCATAAAAGTTGATTATAATAGCAGAAGAATGAGACCTAAACGAGAAACATACCTGGTTCATGTCAATAGTTTGCAAAGCTTCTCCACGAGTGAAAATAATTGCATGGTTCTGATTTTCAGGTTTGCCTTCACCAATTTCTGTTGGAGGCCCCGGAAGCTTAATTCTGTAAATTTCCTATTAACACACCATCCAGGTAAGGTATAAACATGTGATCCGAAAAAGGATTAAGTGTAGAAGCAGGATTGCACTTAAAGAACATGTTAGACAAGAAGAACCAAGGACCTCTGATCAGATGATATCAGATAAGTTAAAGACCATAAGCGAAATGCAAAACTACTACGGTGAGTGGTGTTAAACCTGAGAGAATTACAAATATATGTTTGTCAATGACGTGCTCTAGAAGAGCCAGAGTGCTCGTATGATAATTACAAACTAATGCTTGTCCATGGCATGCTTTAGAAGAACCAGAATTACAACAGTAAACACCAAGGACCACTGATCATATGATATCATATCTCTTTAAGTTAAAGAGCATAAAGGGAATGCAGAACGAGTACGAAGATTTTGTGTCTATCATGAGAGAATTACAAATTAATTCTTTCCACAACATATTCCACAATGGACGAGGGTCTATCATACCTCATCCAACTTGTCACCCCCTTTAACAAGCACAGAATAATACACCTTCTGTTGCTTTCCATTCACTGTCTCCTCTCTTTCATCGATATAAGCAACCCGCAGTGATGGATACCTTCACGAAGTTCAACCCATTAGGGATTCATAAACTATGGAACATGATGGGTGGAAGAAGATAGTGAGTCATTTTAACTTACTTTAACATGAGATTCAAAATGTTATTGTAACAGCTTCGGTCCCGGCCATCGCTGGACTTTTTTTGAGCACCATATATCTGACATGAAACCACATAGGTGAATTTCAGATCAGCTAGAGCCTGCGCACGCTCAGATAGAGATCTATCCTCATTACTGAGTTCCATGCTGGGGAGGCCATTGATAATAGCTGCAAAGGAAAAGGTTGAATGTTTAATTTCACTTGGATTGGAAAACCGCTAAACTGTGCTCCCTCCATAAACATTGATTGACCATCTTCTTTTCAACGAATCAACCAATTTGAAGTCTTCCAAACAACAACAGTGAAAATAGTACACTGCTAAGTTTTGGCTTCTACTTGATTTTCTACAGATATTGGAACCGAAGAGAAAAACCTAAATGACATTGTTAGACCAATGGGATAGAAAATCGATAAGTAAAAATGACAGAGAATAAAAATACACTGAGCAATTTTCGATAGTATTCTCTACTAGTAAACTATTTAGATTCATCCTACCCTGATGTAAATTTTGACTGTGTCATGTTGCTACTTCACAAACCTAGAAGAGCGAGAGTATTAACAATTACGTCAAAGCATAAATCACTAACCATTCTCTCCTGCAAATTCAAGCAAGTACTGTAGTTCCAGAGCACGTCTATAGTACATCATCCCTCTAACTGAAAAACAAAAAGAGTAGAAAGCAAGTGAGAGAAGTTAAACAAGGTCCACATATAAGGTTGTCATAATATATAGGAACATGTAAAACACTAGTGTTATACCTGTTCTTGCAAGTGTCTGTGCTCTATAAGATACCCAATGACGAGTAAGCTCTGCCCTGTCCTTCGGAGCGCAACCAGTTATCCTTTCCTCAAAGTTTTTCCATTCATCTAGCAAGCCATTCGAGTAAGGTTTAAACCCATACATAAAGACAAAGCACAAAGAAAACATGGATCCTCAAACTCACCGCGATATATTGTTTGAAGATAGAACAAAATTGTTATGCCATCTTCATTTTCATGATTAAGCTCTTCCTCGGAGTAAAGGACATCTTCTTTGTAATAAGGAGTCAAAACACTGACCATAAAAAGGAAAACTTACTGAGAGACTCAAAGCAGTTTCTCAGGTTTCTAAAGATAAGGTTTGAAATAATTGGTCCGAAGCACTTGATCAAACTGAAGGCAAGTCAGTGAAGATGCATTCTTTAACTGAATGCAAGTCAGTGAACAACATGAACAAATGGTTCGCTATAACTTTAACTGAATGCCCACCGACTAAAACAACTTGCATCTCTATTGATTCCTTGGAAATTTCTACTGAACAAATGAAGAGAATGGTTGAAAAATAGAAAACATAGGCACAGTTCAAGCATTTCTTCATTACTTACCTAAAAGAAAGCATGTCCCTCACTTTTGGGGCACTTGGCATGTTCATAAACAACGAATTTGCAAAGAAAGTGATACGGCGACGGGCATCTAAGTTGGATGGCACATTTATTGCAGATTCCTTTGTTGTCAAGAGCAAATGCAACCTTACAACCTGTGCAAAGGAATGAGAGACAAAGGAATAGTTAGAACTTTCAAATAAAGTCTGAAAATGATAAAGAAAGGATGTGACAGCAGATGTTACCTTCTCTCTCCATGTTTTGTTTCGTATGAGGTCAATGTTTATCTTTCCAAACCTCTGTTCTTTCTTGACACTTTCGTCATCTTCTGCGGCATAGTGAGCTCTTTCAAGGATTCTACACAACAGCAGGAAATACTCGTTATGGAAGCTCTTATAGTATGTTGATAAGATATCATGCACAACAACTTAAGCTCTACTACTTCTGGAACTTACTCACGGCCCCGAACCATAACATCCTGAACAATAATTTCAATAATGTCCTGGAGAATATTGATTATTTGAGCTCTGAACATATCCGGATCTTCATAATTACTCAGCTGTAGACAAGGAAGCATTAGTAGTTTATTCAGAAAAAGAAAAAAGATGGGAAAATATTAAATAGAAAATGGAAGTAAGAACAGAAAATAAATACCAAGGTGTGCAAAAACTTCTCCAACTTATCACTAAGCAAAGGCAACCCACTCGTTCTGAATTCTTGCAGAAACCTTTGTTGTTGTATGCTCACGTCAACTTCATAACAAATCTGTCTTATGATCCTACTCATGCAGTCACAAAATAAAGAGGATCACAAACGATAAAAGGATCCGATACGGACCTGAAAGAAACAAATTCAAGAAATCAAAGAGAAAAGGTGGGCTACTATGCTCGTAAAATCTTAGGTCCATGGCTTCATTTTAGTTTGCATAAGATGGAAGTTCTTACATCCTGTCTGAATCATCTTGCAGCAGACTATAAATTATGTCTCTTATAGTCTCATAAAATTCAACCACAGCAAACCGCATATACTCATCCATTCTCCTAAATAAGTCAGCACCATTAGTCCCCTTGAAGTCTTTTGCCATGTCCAGAGCAATAGGAATCTAACAAGTATAAGGAATTCCAGGATGAGAAAATTGAAAACTTTTCAGCATTGAGAGTAACAAGAAAAATAAATAGTACCATATACCTTGCTCGCAAGCAAAAAGGGAGGCCATTGAATGACTGACACATCATTAGAGGAAGATGGTACCAGTAGCAAATCTCTTTCACTATACAGTCAGCAAATTGAAAACGTGAGAAAGGCCCCGTACTGGAGCATCAGCTTATTTAGTGAACTGATGGTAGAAGGGTCTTAACTCATTGCTTATGAGATCCTCCATTCTCATAGAGTTAATGAACTCATTCCACACATGAGAAAAATTGGCAATGCTTTGCCTTTCAGCTGACTCATCCTGCCACATGAAATGTTTTTTTTAGTCAGAGACGACATATTACCAAACAAGTTGCCCTCATTTTTCTTCATTTTTCTTTTATATTGACAAAAAGAATAAGGAATTAAGAGATTGGGTCGACCCATTAGAACTGTGACTACCAAATGTTTCCTTTTGCCTCTTTTCTTTGAGGAAGGCACAAGACAGGTACTGAAAGCTGAAGGAACGTCTTCAAATCTGGACCGCAGCATACCAAGAGTCCTTATCTAATAACATGAATATTACGACACAGTAATCAGGAAGACCAGCAGATATTGCCATTTTGTCATCAACAATAAAGTAGCACCTCCTCTGTTCTACAATGCTAAAGCAAATGTTCCTATATGCAATATCATTATAACCATATAAGCTTCAATGGAAGATTACAAGAGAATGACCACCAACCTCACCCAGATGGCTGAATGCTCCACGAATGCCACCGAAAAGAGTAGAAAATATTGCATACCATATTTGTGCATCCATAAAGTAAACCTGAGACGAAAAGGCAGGTCATTGTGTAACTTACATCAGGATATATATTACATGACATAACAATCAGGCCGACAGTCTCTTACTTCCAAGCATCCCCACCAAGCTGTTTATTACAAATTCAACTGATAAGATTTGGTTCCCTCCCCTTCTTGCTAATTGACATTTCTGAACTTATATATGTTTTGAATTATCCCAAATTGGAGTAAACCACATAGGTTACTAACTGAATGCAGCTTGGTTTGGCCCTCTGAGACCACCATATGCAAAACCACAATTTTCAAGTTTAAATTAAAAGATCACTATGCAATTGCCGAAATAAAAGCATACGGAGGCTTATATTAACCCTTAGAATTATATACATGACTTAATATTTCAGATGTATAAACACATACATTAACATGGAAAGTGAAAGTTTGACTTATGGCTGCTTACCAGGACAATTGGCGCCCATATTGCAATAACCGCACCAATGTTGTGCTTAGCTACATAGTTCCAAAATGCACAAAAGCAATTTTCAATATCAATTAGTTTAAGTATTTAACCAGCAAAGCAACAAACATTGTAGGAAAAAAGCTCAAGGCTTACCATGTGGAAAGAACTCATGCCACTGATAATTATCGATCCTCATCTCCATAATCAGTTTCGTTGGCTCAACAAGTGGCAATATCTATTTCAACAAGTGAAGAAGAAGAGAAAAATCAAGATTATCTTCCTTTTACTTGTTGAAAGCTAGGTGCAGAAGGGCACCCTAACCTGTAGTATTAATAAGACAGGTCTCGGAAGCCCCGTTTACATCATGATTTTCCAGTATTGAAGCCTAGCATTGTTACAGTTAATTAAGCTAGCAATTTTTTTACTGCATCCTTATATCTTACACTTTTTTAGACAAATACATAACAGGTTGTGTTTAATTTGATTTATAAATTTTGGTGTAACTAACTTAATTATTGGGAGCAAAACAAGATGAAATCCTAGTACTAGTAAAGCAAAGCGATGGAATATTCTGTTTAAGTAAATGCTGGAGCTTATGGTTAAACAAAGCAAGCCACATCTTTATCCACATAAAAGAGATTTGGGTTGCATTCATGGACACTAGCAATATAATTTTCATCAAAGGGCTTGTGTTGGTTGTCAACCAGTAGGAAAACATAACCAGCCAACTCCGCAACAAAAACATATATTTCATACAAGTCGAGCAGCATTGACTTCTGGTCAAGAATCACAAAATCCTAACTGCATAAACACACAATTATATATAACTAGATAGTCAAAGTCTTAGACTCAAGATCATTTTTCTTTTTACTTTGTCTTTACATATCACTCCCATCAGCTTGATGATGTAGACTTATTTCAATGCAATACTTGGTATCAGATAATTGATGGTGGAGAGCATAAGACATACCTCAACATAATAGCTAAATGCTAACTTGCTTATAATCAGTAAGATCCAAAAGAGTGTATACCTGAGAACAAGGAAATGAACAACTGAAAAGAGAAATATCTCTGGCATATTATGTGTACAGATGAAAAAAAGTAGCTTGCATGCATGTGTTCAAGCGCATCAATATATAGGCACAACATGAAAATGGATGAGTCAAGTTAATCATTTTACTTACTTTAAAAGTGAAAACACATCCTCATGCATGCCTCTACCAATATACAGTTTTGGCTGGATCATGGTAAATTCCATCACAGGAAACAACAAGTTTAATTCCGTCAGAAAGAAGGAATACTAAATTGACTGGACACAAAGAGGAAACAGAAACAGAAGGAAAAAAGAAACTAAACAACCAATGGGCATGCTTAATTCATAATTCAAGTGCTAACTATGCTTGCCTGAGCCCACCACAAAAGTAGAGTAATTATCCGGAAGTTTGATTTCTCCATAGTCCTTCGTAATGGTGGAAGCACAAACAATAGAGCAGATAGGATATTGGGCAGCAAATAAATTGCAACAGCATAATTATAAAGAGATTGATTTTGAAAGTCACTAGCCCAGCTGCTGAAAAATCTGATGAGCCCTGTCGGATTCTGAACAGATTTGGAATAAGCAATAGGCATAGCAACAGCCCATGCTGCTGCCACAGCGAATTTGAGCAGGTAGCGCATTATTTGTGTGAATTTTAAGCTCCTCCAAGCATAAAGGTTGAGTACAATATCAAGAATAGCTGCAGAAGACACAATAAGGAGGAGGAAGATAAATAAAAAATTCATAACCACAAAGTAAGTCCGTCCAAAGAAGAATACAAAAATATTATATCATAACGCATTCCTTCACTCGGAAGAATGTCCACTTTAGACACAGAACGAGATACGGTTCTTTAAGCTATAAAAGTATATCTTCTCTCCGAGCAATATGGTAGAGGCACTTTACCTCGCAGCAGATTGAGAACTGCAGAAGTGATAAAGATGCTCAACACACTTCTGAAGACATCTGGATCAAAAAAGCCAGCAATAGATCCAGAATTCCAAGCAATAATCAACATAGCCTGAAAGCACAGGCTGAAGAAGTTTATTGATTGGAAATAAGGGCAGAACAAACAGGTATCAAATACACAACATACCTGGAAAGCCAAGATAAAAAAGATCCACATTCGGTCAAAACTTCTATAAAGGTGCCAGAAAGTACGGACTTCGACAAAATTAGTTTTCGGCTTCCGCCTTCCACTGCCACCCTGATTAGATCTCTGTAGAAAACAGAAAACCCAGCGTTAGGACAAAAGGAGAAAGTTCCAGACCAGCATCCAATATGTTTCCATGACGCTACTTCTCTTCAGTGAAAACGATCATCTAGAGGGCATTCAGATATATTTTTCCTAATCCCTTCCTAAATATAATTGTAGCAAGTATCGTATGCAAGGGATTTTGGCTTAATGTGTATTAACTCGTTTCAATCTAGATTAGTACTCTTGCATATGAGTCTAAATTCAATAAAATGCATAGATACGAGCTTATTCTCACAAGTATTTTTTAGGTTCCATATTTATTTTTGCAAACTTCTTTCTCTTGCCAACACTGGGTTGACATTACCTATTCAATACATGGGAAAAAAAGGACCAATCACAATGCAGAAGCTTTTTAAGTGGACGCCAATACAGCTGGTAGGAAAAGGAAAAGGAAGAAAAATAAAGTGGTACAGGACATGAAACCAATTGGTAGACTAGCATTCGATAGTTGATTATGATCCTTGCTAAACTATATGTAGCTCATATGACGACGATGATGACTGCATAAGAGTTCTAGAAACAAACTGTAATGGAAGGTGCTATGGCAAAAAAAAAACTGTAATGGAAGGTGAAGTACCTCATTTGCTGGCAAAACCTCATCTGAGTGAATAAAAAAGTCTGCTTTGAGATCCATCGGCCATTTTATTCTAAGACATCTGTTAGACCTACAAAAACGGAAAAGTCTTGATCCACTGTTAAGTATAAAAGACTAATATATATATATATGGACGGTTCTATTGTACCTTGGGTAAAATCAAAGGTATGACATACCTTGAGTAAAAAAATGTTATCTAGACCTTGAATTGATTGGAGTTTGGCTTCTGGTATTATTTTTAAACCCTAAAAGATTAAAATCTAGGTCTTAATTCTATAAATCTCATACACTAAGATCCATTTAATTAGAAACAAAAATCGACGGTCATGATTCGTCTAAATATATGCAACAAATTACATGCACAATTTTATGGGTTAAGCTCTATGATTTAGATAACTAAGACATGGGGTTCACTAATCAAGTGTTAAAGTATAGTATCATGCCCAAAAATCCGATTAATTCGAGGTCTAGATAGTGTTTCTTACTTTAGGTATCTCGTACCCTAGATTTTACCCAAAATACGATAGAAGCCACCATATATATATCAATTGTAAGTGAAGGTTCCTACCAGAAATACTCGTTCAAGTCATCATAGTTTCTCCACCTCGAATGGCTGGCTTTCCCACTTTTGTTTCTCCTAGCTTCCTTTTTCAGGGAACATAATCACTTTTCAGACACAAGGAAGAATATAAAAGGGCCATACCCTACAAGTGTTAGATTGAGTTACAAACCCACCTTACGCACAACCTGGTATATAGGATGTATTACATTCCGCAGAAAAGCTTCATCATCAGGTGCTGCTGTTTCATAACTCTCTCCACTAACAGGATGTAAATTGCGGAATAATACGCCAAAAACTTCATATGCCATCTGCAAGTTAAGAAAATAAGAAAATTATACTATAGAATACAAGAATGTACTTCCAAGATTGAGAACATTAAGACAAAAAAATATAAAGTACAACAGTGTAGTCAAGGTTAGCTCCAGGTTCATAAATCAAATTTCAGATAACCACAAATTGAAATACTTCAGAGGTGACAAAAATATGCAAGAGTTGCTGAAAACATGGCAATATGAGAAGGAAACTAAGTACTGATATAGAGATGCAAGTCTCATGAAAAGGAAACTAAGTACTAATATAGAGATGCAAGTCTCCAACCAAAACATAATAGGAACATCGCTTGTTTCAGCAGAAGCAAGAACACAAAAACTAGCTACAGAAAAGCAGACTACAAAATTACTTGAACATAAATAAGATGCAAGGATATTTGTCATTTCTTCACAAGCATAAAGACAAATTTTAAAAGAGATCCATACAGCAGAATACATTTGCAATATAAAGGATAACGGCTTATATTTTCTTGACTGTCATTGGTTTCTTATTATCAAATCATTAAAGACAGCAGATTCAAAATGCAGTACCAATATTTTCTATCCCTCTACGTTCAGTGTGTGTTTGTGCATTGCGTATATATAGATCACTCTACATGACCAAAAGAAAAAGGAAAATATTCTTATCAACTGTAACAACGGAATCTAAACTGACAAACTAGATGCACCTCAAACCCATAAAGTTTCCATCTTATAAATCAAACTTGCTTTAGTTCTATTAAAGGCGAGGAAGATATAGATCACTGGGACGCTTTGGCATAGTTTTCCACAAAGACATGGAAATGCTATGAAGATCTAACAAGCCATGGAGCTACCATATCCAGAAGACAGGATCCAAGGTATGTTGATTGAAAACCAGAAACAGTATGTTATATCAGTAGCTCACATGATCGAGATATGAGGGAAGCAAACAATGTGTCAAAAACCAGGGATTTTATAGATAGACAGAAACAGTAATTCATCATATATCAGCACCAAGGAGATATAGATATGAGGGAAGTTATCATAATGAAGATATGAAGTGAGGCTACAATAAAAGATACCGTCGAGGAGGAATGTAGGATACATACATTGTGGAAGATATAGCAAATGCATTCTGGCATGAATCGTATATTTGAAGCTTCTCCCCATATTAGTAGATACAACCCAATGTAGATAAGCTCTAGCTGTGGTTTATCAAAGCCTCCTGGGAACCTAAAAAATCAACATCCAGCAGGAAAATAAGGGACCGCAGATGCTCTAACTTTGACAATATAAGATGAACTTACCGGAGATTGCTTTCAACTCGCAGATAGTGACACCAGGAAAGATAGTTTTTGAAAGTTTTGTTCAGTAGTTGCTGTATTGTGCCAGTATTTAACTGCAAAAACCTCAAATTAATATTTTTGGAATATAAAGGTTAAAAATAGCAAAAAAAAAACATATTTTAAGTTCTCAAATGGATGACAGCTTTAAAGTCTATAACTTCAACAGTTAAGTACCTCTGTATAATCTTCAAGGCTCCGTTTCCTTGTGTCTATATTAGCTAATAACAATATCAGGTGCTCTCTCTGGTTTGCCACATTTCCTTTCTTTGATTCCCCAAGGAAAGGCAATTCAACATCATTTCATGAGAATATGTAAGTTTAAAACACACAGTATCTTGTAAAATATGCTATATAACAGGTGACAACATGATTTAATAGAATTTAATCAATTAGCACAGACACCTGGAATAAATGTGCCTTGGAGTAGAAGTGATATTATTCAAAATAGTTAAACTGGAAAAAGGTACCAATGAAATTCACTGACCATCTGATCAATTAATGGATATACCAATTTTAACTATAGGATTGACCACATCACAAAAATATTTTTTCTTAAAAAGTATGAATTTTATTTCCATTTGCTTATGATCGAGCTCCTGGGAATTCATTCAGGGGGGAAAAAGAGATAAATTGCATAGACGTTTGATCACTCACGTCATGCAAGAAGGAAAGGAAAATGTTTTAGGAGACGGAATGGAAATCATAAGCAAAAGGGAAGCAAGCAATAATGATGTGGTAAAAATATTTTCTTTACACATTATAGTAGAGGATAATATAGATTATAGACTATAAAGAGATGAGTCTATTAATCAGTGGAAAATGCATGCCTCTTTATAATATTATCAAAGGTTAGGTCATTGCAAAGAGAAAGCAAGTAATCAGTTCAGTAAGGTAATTATATTACAAAGGTTGGAAGAGTATAACAAAACAACTATGTCAGTCACATGAGCAATTGAATATATCAAAGCAAGAGTGTCAACTCTGTTTGGGTACAGACAGACCCAATAAAGTATGGACAATAGACCTTTTCAATGTAAATAGAATCGCAGTTTACCTGGAAACCAAAAAGAGAAGAAAGCCACTCAAGTATGTCATTGACAGGTTTGATCTTTCCAGTCGGCACGTCATGGTTTGCACCATGAATGGAACTGATTCTGGGCATCGGAAGATTATCCACATTGCGTACAGCATTAAATGCAGCTTTGATCTACACTTTCAAGAGAAACATCATTACCAAGTCAAGCAGTGCATTTAGACGTGGACGGCTAAAAGCAACGTTATTTATGCAGAATGACCAACCTCAGGAAGTTCCATAATTGCCGGTTTTAAACCAACAGAATATAGTGGAAGAATGTTATAGTGCTCATATTGCTCTCGTTTCTTCTCAACATCCTTGGCGTATTTTTGTGTCTGTGGTAATAGATTAACACTCACTTTATTAGCAAAATCATGCCTGGATTTTATGGAAGCATCCATGGATTATGGATTCAACAAAACTAACCTCTTCTTCCACTCTGGATGAAGGTACCACTGTTTTCAGCACATCATATAAGACAGATGCAATCTGAAGAATTTTAGCCATCACCTCCCTTCAAGAGTTTGGAAAAGAAATATTTAAGAAAACATGCCGACACATAACTCGTGTAGGGACAGTTATGAAAAGGTGAGTATATGTGTCTTACGGTTTTTTAGTATATTGTCCATCTCTTATATTTTCCTCGTAGAACTTCTGATAGTACAATTGTATTTCTCTTGGATCAGTTCTTGCAAGACGAGGTTCTGTTTCACTTTCTTCCTATAAAAAGAACCAGAAACATTACTAGCCAAAGGGAATAAAAAAAATCGAGCATAGTGAGGAATCAGTTGTATTGTCTTTCTGCATACAAGATAGACGAAATTTGTGGATTGTTCACAAAGCATCTAAGAACACAAACTACCTATTGAGATTTGAGATCATTAACAACCTCATAAGAGAGACTCATTACAGCTGTCCGTCAATCATAACTACCTTAGCATCACCGTAATGGTTAAGAATCATAACTATTTACGAACTACAATGCAAGACTAAACGCCAGAGTTTGAATGAAATGAAAACTAGGTCAAAAACCAGTTTTCATGCTACAATGCTAATTCTAATCATCAATCATTGCCACTTATGCATTTCCAGAGCAATTGGAAATATTAGTACAATCCAGTAGACTGCACAAGCAAATTGTAGACGGAAGACAGTGCATATGCATGAAGAATACATTAGACATGGTAGCAACTACTACGATTTTGGAAGTGGAAATTATATGGCTATGAACTTACGAAATGGTTGAAAAGGGATCTTGAATCTCTGATATCTACTACTGGTGACTACTGAATTAAGATGCTCATTGTATTAAAAGTAAATGTATTTTTGGCAGACCACAATGAAGCTGAGGCTTTTCCTTCCCTCAAGATTATCATTGATAGCCTTCGACAAGAAACCATAAATAGTAGGGATCGATATAAACCAGCCAATTTCAGGAAGGCACAAGCACCACCCAACAAGAATGGAACCAGTACCAAAGCCCATTCAACTGTTTTTATAACTCTGAATCCTATTCAACCAAAAGTAAAGCAATTCAATGCAGAAACAAGATGAAAAATAAAATTCTATATGTCCCAGTAAGTATGCAACGGAGTAGAATTGAATGGAGATTCAACTTTACCTTCTCAAGTCTATGCAGCAAATATGTCTTGAATTGGCGGACGCCACGTCCACTTGATGTTGGGTCCATCTTATGAGCTTTCTCAAATGCATGGAACCGACCTAATGGACAGGATATATAAAAGTCAAATGATGCTAGTAACAGGTGTATTTTTTTTTTTTTCCCCTGTAACATACTAACATAGAAGAGGTTGGCAAATGATTAGATAAGTGGGTATGGTCCACAATCATGTAGCTAGAGTGTCATCATCTTAAGGTCCTTAGAATCGATCATTTTGCACTAAACAAGAAAAGAAACAGCAGTTAAACTTGAAGTTTAGAGAAAAAAATTTATCTTAATACATATTTACTAATCATAAAATTGGAGCAAACTCCAAAAAAGAACAAAGGTTTCAATGATAGACTACCAAACAAATAACCCAAGCAACAAATAATATGTTAAGAGTGTGATTGAATGCTCCTCGCTATTTGTGGCGTGAAATCTAGCAATAAAGTATGAATAAGGTAGACTTCCTCACAAGACAAATACCAGTATATCACGAGTTATGACACCGGAAAGTGGAAATTGTTGAGAAGAATAAACATTGAGAATGAAAAACAGAGCTTCAGCAGAGCCAAAATCAGAATAATGGTTGATCCCATGCCTCAAGTACAAATTGTTCCACTTTTTCTGACTATTTAATTTATCCCTAGCAAATAAACCCAGTAAATAACAAGACCTTAGCAAACGCAAGCCCCTCAAACCAGAAGCCTCAGCTCAACCATTTTATTGAGAAGTCGGACTTTAAACCCAACGAAGCATGCATGGCTGACTTCCATCCACAAACTAAACTAAGTTAAGAAAGTAGTCAGATTTCTCCACAATCGCAGTTGTTCACATAAAACATAAATGGAGAAATGTGTATCCCTGGGGACCATTGAAAAGGTTGTGATAGATTACACCGGTTGAATCCCAAACTACTCTCAACTGCATATAGAAATGTGCGCTCAATGCATTGGTGAACTGAACAAAGAGTATCCTTATTTGCACTAGGTGTTAAATGCTGTGCTGGTGGTGTTTCCGATTTGTCACCATGCTACCAACCGCAAATAATTAAACACGAGGTTTTAGTACTGATCATCCTCATAACTATTCTTTTCCTGGAGCTGCTTTTAAGTTGCAACTATAGCCGGGATTGAGGCAGAGCAAGTTATAAAGAAAGAAGAAGGGATAGAGAAAGAGGCTCTTACATAGATAGGCGACTCTTGGATTATCATCCTGAATCTCGTTAGCAACACGGAGAATGGGGGCAATAGAAGCCAAAGAAGAGGGAACGACCTCACTGTCGATCACCGGAGCGTCGCCGTCGCGCAAATCCACCATCATGGTGGAGGCCCGGGAGAGCGACCGCGGGAGGTCGCTCTTGGTGCCGCTGGTGCTAGCCATCTCGAATTCGCGCCGGGCGGCAGCAACAATCTAGAGCGTAGGGAGAGCAGTAGAAGTAGTGGCGATGGTAGAATGCATGGCGAGGCAGGCGGGAAGGTGAAGAAGAAGAGGAGATGGAGGATATAAAAGAGAGAGGAGGAGGAAGCCATGTGAGAGAGATGCTTTGGGTGTAGAGTGGGGTAAAGCGATTGCTCTGGTGGCAAGAAAAGAATGCCAGAGAGCGATTGAATCAGAGAGAGAGAGAGTGCGCGCTTTTGCTTTGCTTTGCTTTGCTTTGGTTTGCTACTGCTGCTACTTTTCCTTTTTAGCGATTAAACAAGGAATTTTAGACGGGGAACAAACAAATGCACAATCCCGTAGTCTGGAGTCTCTGAAAATGATTTTGTGGGGAAGCTTTTTGGGTTCCCCTTTTGGTATTTGCGTGGTGGTGGTGGGAATTAGGTTGAAGATGGCTTTTTGGTGTGTCTGGTCTGAGGAAGCTGGGAATTGGCTTTTTTGAATTTTCTGCGGACGCTTTACTTCGAGGAGTTGTTTTTCTGGCGAAGCTACTAGATTAGATTGTGTTTGTGTACGAGGCCGAGGGTGAGTGGGGATTGCGCGGCAACTTATTTAGTTGCAGCGCTACTTAAAGTACGGGACCCGAGCCCACTTCGATAGATGAAAAATAAACGTATGAGCCCACCACAAACTATAAATTGGACCGGTTGGGTGACTCTTTGTGGCATTCATTCGTTAAACAAGAAACATTTGTCCTCCTTGGATTTTAGTTTCATGGACTAGCAGGCAGGCAATGCGATTGAAGTGAACGAAAAAAAATAAAACCGAAAATTCCCTCAAAAAATTAAATAAAACCGAAAATGGATCCAATCATATGCTTGTTTTGGATTAGGAGAGCTCTTGGTAGCATTAGAAGGCATCTCTGCCAACAAAATCCGAACTCACGGGTACCCACCCGACCCAACCTGGTCAGTGCGGGTAAAATTCATGTTGATGGGTTTTGGGCCGGGTTCGGGTTTAAACCCGCTACACTATTCACCGGGTTAGGTTGGGTTGGGTTTGGATTTAGGTAAACCCGCCCCATGGGTACCGGCCCACACACATATAATTACTTTCCCGGTATATTCAATATTCTAAGTAATATATTTTCCTTAAACAACTAATATTTTTTATGTTTGTGGAGACATGTATAATTTGTTCTTTCTAATTGTTTAGAATGAAGTTGATATTATGGAGTGGAGGGTGAAGAAACTTAATTGACGAGGAAGAAACTTTTAATTAATCTTGTGATTTATAGATGTTTATCTTTAATTTTGAACAATTTATATAATTATATTGATCATTTGCGGTTTACTTGTATGCTCTAGATTAGTGTTTTTTGTATGAATAATTTGTATGAGAAAATTGATGTTAAACTTTCATTTTGAAAGAAACTTATTATTGTAAATTTTTTACCACAAAAACCCACGGGTACCCATGAACCCGCGGATACCCAGCGAGTTGGGTTGGATTTGAGTTTTTCAAACCCAGCGGGTTTTACCCCGAGTTTTTTTGGCGGATAAACCCATGGATTTGGGTTTGGGTTTGGGTTTGACAAAACCCGCCCCAACCCGACCCATTGCCATCCCTACCCTCCCCATTAGAAGGTATGCTAATACCTTATCAGCAATAGTGTTGGGATCCATTGATAGCTCGAAAGCATTTGTGTCTACCTACATAGACATTCTCGCCTGCAACTATTGTTCCAATTGAGGAATGTGATTTGCGGCCACCAACAATAATGATCCTTCTGCTTTTTTCTGGACCAATTCCTAATTAGCTCCTTGCCTGACCCAAGTAAAGCAATTCTACATGAGCAAAGTCTTATCATTGACCTTAGGTCCTTAACTCTTGGACAAGATGTTGCGACCATAGACTGTTTCAGTGCCCACAAGCTCTTCTCGGCGAGGACAATGGTGACTAATATACCCTAAGATATCACTAAAGAAGCAGAATTGTTGCAACAGTTCATAATTCACAATTGTTGTGAACTCATCCTTACTCATCTTCTCATGAGACGTCGGACCCATATTAGTAGGGGATCTCGCCATCAATCTAGACCTTCACACATAGGTAAGGTTCTCATGTCTCAGGTGCAGTTTCCCCAATGCCAGCCCTAGAAGAGTTCTGATCTACCTCGTGCAGCAATCATTTGGGACTCCCTAGAACCGAAGACCTAGAGGGATATGTCATAGTTAGTATGCAACTTATGTCTTAACAACCACCCATGGGGTTAGATTCACCAGGAATTTTAGGAGGAACACGAGGGAAGCCGCTACACTCGATCCATATCTGACCCTCTTTAAAAGATGAATTGGAACATGCCCTATGCCGCAAGGAGAACTGAATTGGCACCATGACAACTTTATGAGAAGCTTTAAATTTGTAATCGATGCACACTCACGTCTATACTAACAAAGCTAAGTATAACGATGCTAGGGATGCAACAAAGTGGCTTGGTCGTATTCCAAGGAAACCTTAGGCTTACTATTACTTTGCTCCAAACTACTATCTGATCAAATAGGAAGGTTGGGGGTAGAACTAACTTAACCTACCTTATTAAACAACCAACCAAGTGGTTGGGAGACCGCTAGAGATGAGATGGTTGTCTAGGATCGAATCCCTCTAGCTATATGTTGATATAGGCGATAAAATAATGATACTTTGAGGTGAGGAGGTAAGGAAGGTGGGGATCGACTCAATGGTCAAGTAATCGATCCTCCTCCTGGCTAGGTTCGCTGGCCCAATATCACCTCAACCAGTCTACCTAAATAGGGATGGTTCTACCTCCTCTAAACGACTTATATCCTTCTGCACAAAAGTAGGGTAAGTCAATGGTGACGCACTTACTCGCAAGCATCAACTAGGTGAGACTCTAACTAGAAGGGATAGTCACCTCAACCTCTAATTAGATCTCTAGGTCATCCAATCAAGGTAAAAATCATTCACACAAATCTAAACCCTAATTAGAAGCATCCTAGTTAAACCCACTTATTATGTACATTCATATACAAGGTAATGGTAATTTCCCTATTATCTATGTTGCAACTAAGGCAAATGAGATACAGGCAATCCCACACGAATTGATGCTTATGATGATCTTCACCTAAGGGGATGGAACTCTCGCCTAGGTTAAGAACAAACCAATCACAATCAAACAAGAGATTCTTATGCACAAACATCAATAGACATAGATAAATAGGTTCATAAACATGCTTACAAATGACTCATACACAAACTATAAGCTAGTGTTCATCTTCCCTAAACAACCATAGCTATTCAAAGCATAGAGAGAGAAAAGAGATACAAACTTAGAAGATAAGAAGTGATGGAAATCATCTTCTTCTCATAGACTTGCACCTTCTCCTTTGATTCTTGGGTAGATCTAACCTTTCTCAAGCACTCTCAAAGTGTTTCTCTCTCTAAAAACTTCCCAAAACCCTATTTCTCTACCTCAAAGTCGACTATCTTGTAAAGATGAAGGAATCCCGTATTTATAGACTTTAGGAGGACTAATAAGTAAGTGGTTAAGGGCTAGGAGAGTGCAGGCGTGAACTTTGGGTGTGAGGTCGCGTTCTTGAACCGCAACCTTTTTGCTCTAGCTGGCTCGGGAGTTCGCATCCTGACTTCATGGTCGCGATCTTTCTCCCCGTCTTGGACAACTAAGGGTGCGAGTTGACTATCGAAACACTTTGTCCATTCCTTGGTGGCTGCTTCCTCAAGTTCACGGCTGGCGCTCCCCATATTGGGAGAGAGATCTTTGCTCCAGAGGCCACAATCTTTTGCTTGAATTTGCGCCTCCTCTTCTCGGACGTAATCTCTGCCTTAGACATGATCTCCTTGTTTTGCTCCTTTTCCTAAACTTGTGACCACTTTTGTACCTAAAGCACAAGTATCATCTAATACACCCTAAAATGACATAAATTACTCTGAGGAATAAATTCGAGATGCATTTGATGAAATATTAACCATGGTGACCGTGAAATGACATAAAAGTATCTAAAATATAGAGGCTTAATAACACAATGTTGGGTGTTATCAACTCCTCCACACTTACGTACTCTAACCAGTACAACTTGGTAAACAATCAAAATGATATGCTCTATAGTTCTTCGGTTGCATGTTCAAGAATATTCAGGGTCGAGTAAGCAATACTTCCATCTCGATGTAAAAACACAAAATTTTGGATGAGGACCATGTCGACTAAAGAGGTTTAGCATTTAAGAAGTGTATCAGGGGACTCTCAAGAAAACAATTGAAAAGCAATGGACTCCCTGGTGGTGCTTTTTATTAATCTTCATAATTGAGCCTCTTTTCACATTACTGAACATGGCACCATAGTTTTTCATTTTTGCAAATAAGTATTCTCTCCTTCATGGCTAAGAGCAAAAGGATATTGCTTTCTCGATCTCGACCTCATGTGGGAAAAGTGATGGTTGAGAGGATGAAATAGTAAAAGGCGAAGCGTTGGATGTTAGTTCGCTCTCTTAAGCACCAAATCCCAGCGTACACTTCTCGTCTCAACGATAGACGAGTTGTCACATATGTGGGTACAAACGAGATCCAAGGTCTCTTTGACTTGCACAAAGGCACACTATCTCATCTCATACAAGTCCTTCAGGAGAAGCGGTGTCAGGAGAATGAGATCTACATACACATCCTCAAATGGCACTCCTAATTAAGAGATAATCCCTATGACGGTTGAACTTAAACACTATGCCTGGTTGGTTCTCACATCAGAAGACTCAATTTTCAAAAGATTTTTTCAAACTTGAGCACATTTTTGCAAACATTTTTGGAGTCCAAGATTGGGGAGAGAGTCATGCATACATGTCACAACCTAGATAGTGAACAATATCAACACATCCAAAAGGAAATATAAGTAAAATCTCTCATCATCGATAATCCTTGTAATGCTACACTGCTCCCAATAACGCACACCATCCCGATCATCTTAAAATTTCAAAAGTACAATGAGAAGGTAGATGCATAAGACAAGGTGTTTGGAACCCTCAAATTACAACAAAAAAAAACTGGGCTAATCAACAAGGTTCCAAAAAATTTCTCTAAGCTATTCAAACACCACAAAACTCATTCAATCGGTAGCAAACACTCTCGCACATAACTATAAACGTCTCAAAAATTCACAATCACTGCACCAATTTTTGGTTAGTTGTGACAAGGATAATTTATCGTAATAGACATATTTTTGTTATGATAGTGTTATTTTGATGATTTTTTTTTTCAAACCGTTCGTCACGACTAAATCATCAAAATAACTTTTTTTTACAAAAATGATTTTTTTTCATAACTTCGTCAACGTATTCCGTTGAATTTTGTTTGTCAAAAATTCATGCGTGTTGTGACGACCGCTCTTGTCAAAATGCACGACAATTTTGTCATAATAGGTTCTGTTTTTGTCACAATAACAGTGGCA